GCACTGTGGAATTTAGGACAGATAAGAGTCATCACACATCCATTAGTCAAAGAGTCTTATCTTCCTTACGTCAGCCAGCCAGAGTTGTAGATGGTTACCCCAATGAAACAATATCCTGTTTTTCCTGAAAATGCTGAGGTCAAGTTCCAAGAGTTAACAGTAGAGGCCACTGAGTCCTTTTAAATGTGATGGTTTTTTTTTTTTTGCTCTGGCTTTGGTGTGAAATTGTTCTCAACTGTCAGAATCTTGAGGGACTTTGTGGAAATCTATGAGCTTTTGTGTCATCCTTTAAATTAATTCAGGGCTGGAATTCATAGAGCTACTTGGAATAACACTTAAGTACTGGAGTTGTTATGACCTTACATAACTTGATAGAGTGTATATGGAGGATGTAAGTATGTAAAGGAATCCTAATTACGGTACAGACTCAACAAAACACACCATGATAGTGACATCTAGTGGATATTTTTAGTTACTGCACATTAAAGAACTGATACTCTGAGAATTTTTTTCTCTTTACTGACCTATAACCTTTTTTCCCTCTTTTTTATTGCCAATTTGCATGATTGGAGAATCATGAATATTCAAGTACCCTATTCTCATCATATGAGTACTAAAATATCTATTGTATGATTAAGCTCTTCTTGGGACTTGTATGTAGAATTAAGTTATACATTTAGTTTAGTATATGCAATGAAATGTAGAAAATGCCCAGTTAGAGCAGATGTTCCAAACTTTTGCTGGTTACCTACAAAGGCATTAAAGGAGCTGCTTTTCTCCATTTTATATTATTATAAACTGAATACTGACAGTAATAATGGATTTGAAATTTTAGGGTTTTTTGATTTGGTGGATCAAAGATGAAATTAATTCAGTAAATAAAAAAAAACATTAGTAGTTAAATGTATAATGAAAACATTGCTTTGTATGTTTCTAGGGTTTAAGGATCATCTTCACTGATGCGGCCCGCCTGGTGTTTCGGATGAGCGGGAGTGGAGGAGGGATGGGTGCCACCATCCGCATTTATGCCGAGAACTTCGAGAGAGACCCTGAGAGACAAAACAGGGAGACGCAGGTAAAGAGGGATGAAAGGGTGATGGCAAGATTATATCTGTCTTTTTGTGGGCGTCTGAATGAGAGCCAGAGATTATTTTTGTGTGCGACTTGTCTCCACTTTTGTTTTTGTTTTCGGTGTAAGTGTGTAGTAGTAGTCTTTACGCTGTTATGACCTGTTGTAGTTCACTCATTCATAAGGAAATCTGATACACAGTATTCTGCCAGTTTAGTCGCCATAAAACTGATCATGTCGGAGAAAATACGGTGCTCTTTGCAGCTACAAGAGTGGCAATACAGCCTATGCTGGCACGGTGAAATGCCATGTCATGATCATGTAATAATGGTGTGTAATGCAGCTTCATGTGACACTACTGAAGTTAATTGACCTGTAGACTTTGCATTGATTAGGAACACTAGCTTCTTGTGTTATTGTGGATGTTGGAATAGGTAGTGTATACCATATCCAGGAGTTGTAAAGCTGCAGTCATGATGGCTAGACACCCTCATTTAGGTTTGGCCACCTAACTATACACCTTCATTGAACAGTGTGTGATTAATGACCCCATTTTCTTTCATACATCTACAAGTTAGAAGATAACCAATGGAGTCCTCAGCTTGCAGAGCTGAGACCTGCACTGGAGCCTTGGAATCTATCATTTATATTACATCATAAATTCCAGATTAGACAACATGCTTGTTCGGCTAGGTTAAAAGTACTGCATATACTTTTTATATACACAGGCTGTGTGGGTTTGTATTCAGTCAACACTGTCTGACATTTTTAAAATCCTCACTGTCAGACATTTTTAAAATCCTCACTGTCAGTAGTTTAACATTGTAGCTGTGTTTGTCTGCTTACCGCACAAACCCTTTGAAGTAAAGGGTTAACAATGACACCATAACAAAGTAAGATGATAAGATAACATAAGCAGCACAAATCATTCATATACTGTATAAAGTAGTTTATACACCTGTTTGGAAGCAACTCAGAATTTCCTCATAGCTAATTTCTTTATTACACCACAGTGTTCTAGTTGTACCTTTTTATGAATGTATCATCTCTAACAAGTAACAAGAACTGGTTGACAAACTAGGGTAATACCTCTGTAAAATGCTGACATCGATGTTGACACATGTTTTTATAGGGTTGGGTTGACATAAATGAAACTAGGTTATCTGCCGCACTGAGAGAGACTTACTGTATGCTAGCACGTGGTCATAGCTTAAACACTGAGTCTGATGGGGCAAACATCAAATATGAGAAAACACTTTTGTTATTGTACTCAAAAGCACTTTCCAAACATTCCTTTTCACATGATGCAAAACATCTGCAGTCCTTGTTGAATTACCATTGCTGAAAATGTTTTGTGATGTGTTCCTCACTGCAGGTGGTGCTGGGCCCTCTCATTGCCATTGCCCTGAAGCTCTCCAACATCCATGAGAGGACAGGACGCCGCGGCCCTAATGTCATCACATGAGCAACTAGGAAAACACATGCATGCACACACATGCATCTACCTGCTCACACAGAGAAACATACCCTCAAAATAGTCTTTCCTGTGCTTATCTGCCTGTCTTTTTTTTTTAAATCCCTTCTTTCTAACTTCGTTCTCATTTTTCTTTAACCGATGACTAAACTGAGGGCGCTTTATCTTTCAAAGAGAAAGTTAATGTTTTACCCTGTTCTCACAATTGTTTATTGATAACTATCATCCATCAGCTATGGAAAACTTGCAATATTCAGTGTCTAAACCAGGGAGGCTATTTAATTATTGCCATGGATAAATAATGAAAAATATGTAAACAGCAAACATATTATGAATGTGCAGACTGACCGTTAATTTTTGTGGCTTGCTTTTATGGAGACTTATCGATTAAGGGAGCTAAAGAGAGTAATTTTTTAATTCACCATGCTGTTTTTCTATAACAGTTCAGTGTTCACATTTCATATTGCTCGTACCTGTCTTCTCATATATGTCACAGTGTTGGTTTTTTTCAGCCATTTCATGCAGAAGTAATCCGACTGTTTACCAAATGTAAAATAAAACAGGCATTGCATCAAGACTAATATATCAGTGAATTTAATTGAAATTTGAAATAGAAATAATGTTAATGCATATCTCAACTTATGTTTACTACCTAAGGACAGTACAATTGAGCTTTTTCTTTAATTTGTCCGTTTAGGCCTTTGGGAATGCATATAACCATATTTGAATATATTATTTCTTTTTTTTAATCCAAATAAACTTTTTTTTGTGTGTAGTACTTGCCTTTTTTAATTGAATTGGACAGGTCTAATGGGGAACAAATATAAACACATCAGCATGGGATATGTTGCCCTTAGGCATTTTTGGATTTTAATTAAACAAATTCTTCATAATTAAGAGCACCATGTTGTGCTGATACTATATATCATGTGGTGATTGAACATCCTGGAGGAAAAGGAAGCTTTTGTTTGCCGAGCACAGCACCTGCTTTTGAACCAAGTGTGAAATGTGTTGAAGCTGTTGTGCCGAGATAAGAAATGAAGACAGTTGATTTTTATACAACCTGAATGAGACACGCAGAGCAGGAACTCATAAACACATTGATTACCGCCATTATGAGTTGAGGATATGCCAGTGGATATCCGCAAGGATGTGTTCACTCAGTCAGCCAGACATTACCTGTCAGCCATTACAGGTTATTGCCACATCCAACTGTTTTATAATGTCAGGGGTTATTTTGGAGGTTGGATGGGGATCAGTCCTAGTTTGTCACCTTTGAATTTGTCACTAAGAAGCTGAAATTGTTCCTGTGTCAGAGACAAGTGTCTAATAGGTAAAGGGGCATGATTAGATGAATGCATTTCTTTAAAGTACCTGGTAATTAAGATTCACCCTTTTTCATTTATGATGTGCATGAAAGTGAACATGCTGCAAAGTTGCAGCACATTGTTGCTCTACCCCCTCCCCCCCAGTATCTTTATTGTGGTGAACTTTTCAACTGAACGGAGTGTGCTTGAGAGAGCACTCTTAATCTAATAATACAGTTTGTTAGGACGTGTCATGTTGTTACACACAGTACACATGAGTAAACAGGCTGAAAAGACTTCTTTGGCTCACAAGTCAAGTGTGGACCATAATATACAAATATACTATAATAAGATACTCAATGAACCACAAACACAGCTGCAAATAATTTAGATTTGTGAGACCGTATTTTTATTTATAAAGCCATTTTTTGCAGACTTTCATTATATATGTAAAAACTTATTTCACAAGGTTTTGCAATCTTGCAATCATTAGCTCAGGTCACAAGACATTTAGTTGTCTGTCTTTAATGTATAGACAGAGATGGGAAAGAAAGCCCTCATGTTTTTAGCTCCACTTGGAATAGTCTGCAAAAAGAATTTAAATCGATGAATCTTGATTCTATCTTATTTTAGTATTATTCTCTGTTTTAGTTTTGTTTGATTTTGTGTTGCCATCTTGTCCAAGTTTCCTTGTCTTCAACTTGTGTTGTATAAAAACAAATAAACCGAAAACAAAAATCTAACATAGGACATTTTGGTGGCTGCTATGGGTCTAAGATGCTGTCTATGTGAAAGATCATTATACTATCCCTGGTTCAAACCCAACAGGGACAATTTGTTGCTTGTTGTTCTCTCCTCACTTCACTTATTTAACTTCAACTTATTTGAATTTGTGTAATTCAGTTACATTATTGTTGCGTCGTGATCAAGAGGGCTTATTGTCGTAAATATAAACAACTGAGTAGTTTAAAAAATACAATTATGAGTGTTGGTTTGATTTGCTTTGAAATTATATCAGGCTGCCTGCTAGAGTTAGACTAATTTATGAACAAGAATTATTCTGAAAAGTCTCTAGGAGCGTAAAAAGACATTGTCATGATTTATAATGCAAAACAACTCTCAAAGAAAGAAACATTTTGAACACAAGTACTACAGTATAGCGGCCTGATATTTTTTATTCCATAACACAAATCACCCTACAAAAGGGGTAGCATCACTCACTAAAACAGTTATATTATACATATAAACATACAGAAGTGTTTGATTTGAATAGCATACAAATTACAGCTACAGTACATGTAAAAGTAAGTGCTGTTTTTTAATAGTAACAGTTATTTTTCACACTACCAAGCAGTTTTGCAGTTCAAACGTGAAGCTCATCCTTTGCTTTAGAAAACCAAAAACAAAACAATTTGAGCAACATCAATACAGAACCACAGTTTAACCCAACAGGCTGTACCTCAGACAGTTCTGTTAACTGTATTAGAGTTTAGAGGTTGACCACTGTGTGTACTGATGGCACAACGTGTCCCAGAGGTCCATCATTAGGTAGCAGAGCAATCTTTCTCTCTTAGCTCAGTCAGGAAGGGATGTCGGTCTAAGATCTCCATTCATCCCTTTTCTCTCAGCCAGTTAGAGAAAAAAAAAATTCGTCCTTCAGTGTCCAGACAAGGCCTCCCTCCGCTCCTCTGTATCCACGTCCCCCTGCTGAATACGCTCTACTTGACTGTACCGAGGAGGCTGCTCCCAACTCCACGTGCAGTCTGGAGCCTCCGAGCTGTCCTGGCTGTACAGAGGAGGAGCGAGGCTCATCACCACATCCACCCCGTCAACCACAACAACTAATTCTGTATCAGGACACACTCGGCTGCCCTGTGACTCTTCGTACGATGGAGGGAAGGAGCTTGGTCTGCAGAAGAAAAGACATACAATACATTAGTTTAGTTTAATTTAGTTCTCACTGGCCAAATGTTAAAAATGCAGCCAAAAAGTAAAGTACAATTTATTACACATTATAGGATACATAATGAACAAACTCTATGTGAGAAATTTGTATTGACTTATGAGGCCAAAACAAACATTTTCCTGTCATGCACAAATTATCCATTGCTCTGGAGGGGAAGAGTAACTAGTTTTTTCAGTTGTAAAAGTCAATAGTAATTAAATTACACAGAAATAAACTTTTTTAAAACAAAAACATATTATTTTTCCTGTTGAAAAGGTACTTTGTAATTTAGATACTAATCAATAAGCATTTTTTCTTTTTAACGTGTATTTGTGGTTACAGATGGTCTTACCTTTCAATAGTGTAGACATGCATGTTTCGTTCGTGTCCTCCTCTTTGGTACATCTTGCTCTTCATGCTGTGGCAGATGGTCCAGAAGACTCCGATGAGCATAGATAAGAAGCCCAACACAATCATGATGTAGGCAGGGATGACTTTCCAAGAGAACCCGTACTCTGTCTGCAGAGACACCAGGTAGGCCCCGCTGCAGGTCAACGGAAATCCCACACCAGGCAGCGCAATACGGGCCAAGGACCACAGCTGCTTCTTCACATTCATGATCATTTAACTCACTTGCTGCTTCTTTCCAGTTGCCCTTTTCTTCCTTTTTCTGTCCTCTTATGGGGACACTGGTATCAGGGAGGAGGTATTTAAGAAGTTTTGTGGTTTGATCTCTTTAGTATCTGTTCAGTTTCAGACTTGCCTAAACATAAATAAATCCTCTTACCAAGTTTGAGTACCAACAAATGTAGCTGCAGTTGAAGGTGTGTCAGTCTATGAAAACATATTTGGCTCTTCAGACATAGAGGGAGGTGGCTGGGATGTTCCTGCCTTCTTGGTTGTATATTAACACAGTATTAATCTGAGAGAGATAGGGGCCAGAGAGACAAAAATACAGCAAAGAAGAAGAAACAACAAAATAATTTTGCTTGATAGTTGATAAGACAACAAGGTGAGAATAAAGTACATTTTATATAAGAGAGGTGTGGGCTTCAGATCTCAACTTATTGTTAGAATGTCTAAAAATGGTCTTGATTGTGATTCTAGATTTGTGAATGAATTTCATGTGTTTCTACTCTCAGTGTATCAGGAGCAGAATAAATAATAAATATTTCCTATTTAGAGGTAGTTAAAGCATAACTACTATGTGAATAATGCACTCACTTACTTGAAGTTAAAGATACTGTGACTCTGAATGTACTGCTACTTGATATTTTTTGCAAAATACATATTGCTATATACATATAAGACTACTACTACTACTACTACTACTACTACTACTACTACCAGCTATTATATAATTATAATCTTAAGAGTAAAGGCAATGAAATTCAACAACAGTGCTAGAACCTTTTTAGTTAAATGAAATTCATTGTATTTATTTTATTTTTAACAACATAAACACAATAAATGTATTTAAATTAATTTTATTTAATAAACTAGTGGCAAGTTTAAAAGGTCTGACAATATGTATATATATATATATCACACAATCATTGGATATTTGAATAAACAACAATTATCATGTTGAAAGGAGGAAGGAAATTATTTATATTTTATGCTGGAGGCATTCAATTTTTCAATTCAAGTTTTTTTTTATATATTCCCAATCCTACAGATCAAATTTACCAGACAGCAACCAACAACTTCTCAACATTTTAAAGCAGAACACTATTTTTTGTTATCTCTGATTTCTGTATTGATGAGTAATCCACTGGAAGTGATTTATCCGTCATGTAAGGAAATTAAATTTTAATTTGATGGATTCTCCTTAGTCATCATGTCAGACAGTCCATGCTGATAAAATGTTACAGTATTGCTCAACATTTTTCTTTGACACAACACAGTGCAGAAGTCACAAGGTAATGTTTCCATAACTTGTTTTCATGAAGCTGGAAATTGGTTCACATGTGCACAACATGACAGTGCACAAACAAGCACACTTAACACAATTTTAATCAGCTTTATCATTATCCTTTATTTATATTTATTTATAAAATGTATTTTAGAAGATGAATTTACAACATTAAATTAATTAAATGCCCTTAAATGGCTATATAAAAATACTTTTTTTATATTCTAGAGATACATTTTTCTTTCATCTTCCATTTACATTTTTTATTTTTTCTTATCTTCTCAAATCTGAGATTATGTAAATCCTATCCAAGGAATAATAATCCATAAATGCTGTGGATGAACTTTGGCCTTGATGCTTATAACAAGCTGTAATGTTCAAACTTCATTTACAGTAAAAATATGACATGCATACTTTATTAAAAGCGGGCCACACCTGGAACAAGGTCAGGTGCTCAAAACACAAATTCTTACATTTTCCATTGAAGTCAACTGGCAATCTTTTATATATCATCTTGCTCACTGAAGGTTTTTGCATACTTTTCTGTGCACATGGATCAGACACATTCAATGTGACAAAACAGTTTTCTCTGCTGCTCTGATTTTATCTATACATCAGACAAATCAAAACTCTCGTGCAGTTTTCCAGAGATGGGTGCTATATAAACAATCTTGGAACAATCGCGGTAAACAAGTAAAAACAAAATGATAAGGAAATGTAAATGTAAAGAAATAAAGATTATATTCCGTTGCATGGCGTGCATGACTTTATTTTCCCTCTTTATTTGCCCTTGACCTACAGCCTCCACTGTGCACCTCGCTCTTTGTTTATTGGTCAGCCTCATTATAAATTATTGTTTAATGACACTTCATTATGAATGGTACAGTAGGCTATTCTTGGAAGGTAGTGTGAATGAAATCTATCCACACCCCCTAAACACTTGTTTTGAATGCAGCACAGTCATCAGAGTTGTTATTGGCACACTGAGAGTGTAATGGTTTTATGAACCTTATCAGTCTTATCAGTGTGGAGTTAATCCCCTGAGTTCAGCTTGGGTAGTATCTAGATATTGCACCACGGCGATGTTTTTCGACACGTTAACACACCCCTGTGTCTGATGCCCACGTCAGATAGAGCATTGGCTTCTTATTAGGCAGGAATTACCGAGTAATGAGTGTTAATAGTGGCACTTATAATTAAGAAGATTATAAATCTTTGTGGCTGATCTACACATTCAGCAATCTGGTGCAATATGTGATGCCCTATGAGATGGCAAACTGTGGCACTTTCCACAGTACAGGCACTTTACTCTCTTTTGAAGAGGATAATGATGACGTTAGCAACACGTCCCTAAAGATAATGTATTTCCAAATCTATCTTCAGTGCTGTTATCACAAATCGTCTGGACTGATAGCACAAAAGAGCTGACCTGAGAGAGAAAATAAACCTCTGAAAACGGGACAATGACACTGCAATATGCTGCACGTATACAGCAGATAGTTGACAAATTAATAATCAAAGACAAGTGTTCACCTGTGCCGTTGTGTCATTTTCATGTGGGAATGCATTATTGCTCAAGGGGATTTCAGTGCCTGTGTCATAACAGATCCACTGTAGGTACAAAATCCTATTTCAAAGTGTTTTTCCTCTGTTCCTCTGGAGGTTTGCTTTATTTGTATAAAATCACTGTATGTAGTTGTCTGTTTTGGGGCCTTTGGTGGCCACATTGGAGGGAGCTGTTGGTAGTCTGATATGCACCTGTTTGGCACATGGCTGAAAAATGGGGAAAAAAAGAAGAAAAACAAACTCCAGCCCTCTCATTATGAGGGGCTATCATTAACAGATTAGTTGACATTATCTCTGATATTATTAGAGCTTTACAGCTGCTCCACACAGTAGCTAGAAGATAACAGTGACTGTTTTCCATATGTTCAGTTAACTTGCAGTAAAAAACTTAAAGGGTTAGTTCACCCAAATTACAAGAAAACATACAATATGTTCTCACTTATCACTTATAGTATCCAGCAGTGCAGCTTGATCAATGATAAAGGAATAAATATGACTACACATGACATAAGCTGTGGAGCTTTTACCGGAATGATGATCACCACTCTTCTTCCTCTTTTGGTGTGTTGAAGACACATATCAGTTGGTTTGAGACCCGGTGACTTCAAAGGTCAAATCATATGATTTACACAATTTTTTTTTTTTTTGTCCAGTCATGCATGGTATGGAAGCATCTGCATTAGTTATGTTTTTCCACTAATTTATTCAGGTTTTCCCTTTGTCTGGAGTTTTCATTAATAATTTGTCAAGCTATTTGGACGCCCTGTGGCCGAGGGGGGTTAAGGTGGTGACCATAAACCACAATGTCCCCAGCAATGGCTGACTCAGGTTGTCTGAGGGGCAGGGGCAAAAAATACCAGCAAAAGTAAACGTACCTTATTATCCAGAATAAAGTCAAATTAATAATAATAACTAATAATTATTGCTGATGCATTGATATGTATACCATTCTACTGTTTCATTTGGTATGCAACAATGTTAATTATTTGATATATTCCTGGTTTCATCTATACCAATGACTTTTATGAACATTTTATAAATTCATCATATGTTTTGTGTCTATAAAGTAGCATGGAATGGAAATACTCAAGAACAAATACCTAAAAATTGTACTAAAATAAAAGTTTAGTACATGTATTTAGTTTCCTTCCACCACTGCAGGGGTTTTTGCATAAATTAAATGTGCAGTCTACTACACGTGTAGTCTGTAAACCTCCAAATTAAGCTCTCTTGCCCTCACACTTACACACAAACACACACACCTTCTTTTAGACCTCATTATTGAGCGATAATTATAGACAGAGTGAGACAGAGAGCCATTAGTTGTGAGGGAAGGGCCGGTTATTAATCAGCTGGACTCTGATGGGGACCTGCCATCCCCTCTGTCATTAATACACATCAAGGTCGGACTGCACACTCAGCAATACACAAGTTCACTCATTATATGGTCACCCCATCTGACAACACACACCGACTATCAATTATTAGATTGTGTATATGGTCATGTAATAAATACACATCAGTTTATGAATGTACAATAGTCATTTGCAGTAGTAGTACCATGAGAGATCCAGTGGGGGCGATGTTGCATTATTTTCTTTCACCAATGCCAGCGGCTAGTGATCAAGAGCCCTGCAGCACTGCCTGGTATAAACAATGTAATAAGGGAAGATTTAAGATGTCTAACTGTCTCACTTTCTACTACCACAGCGGGTCCAGTGGGTGCATCATGTGGAGTAAAAGTATCTCCCAGACGCATATGTAACTTTAATGGGATCCATTTGGAGGCAAGCTGAAGGTTCCAGCCTGCCTGGTTTCGATAACCATGATGCTCTATTTCACTCGGGATTGTGGTTGAGATTTTTCCCCATTTTGTCACAGATTATAAATCACCTCAGCTCCAACGTCTAAAACCATTCACTTACACTCCGGCCATGGCGTTATTTTTATCATTCTGGAGACGCTTTTGAAGATAAAAGAGATGTATTAAATGTGAACCATGTATGTTGAAAGAAAGAGTGATCTTAAAACTTGGTCATAAAGAAAAGAAAGAGAGGAGCAAAGTGAGGGAAAGGGGGGAATAAAGGGTAAGTAGAGGCAAGAAGGAGGGAGGGAAGGCAGGAAGGTTTTGAACTTCTCAAACTTTCTCTTCCACTCTGTTTCTCTGTCTCTTCTTCTAAGTGGCCCTCTTACCGCTCTTTCCATGTCCATTCTCTGGTGTTACATGTGCTCTTGCCTGTAGTGTTCCACCGCTCTTCCCTGTAGTAGCTGTATAAACCCTTGCAGTTGTCTGGACTAGCTGAGGCAGGAGGGGAT